AAAGAGCTTTGTGGGATTACTTGTTAGCTGCATCGGTTTCGAAGAGACAAAGAACATTTAAGGAACAAAGGCATTATAAAGCAANCTCNNAAANAATTAAAGTTAACAACGATGACAATTCAAATGTAGCTAACAAAGATAGATTGCGAAATACAACTTCTTAAATTTTACTATTAGTGTTACAAATCTCAACTGATGTGATTAATTTAATATCATAAGTTTTCGGATTTTCCGACATACTTTACTGATAAAATAATTTTTAATAATTTCTGCTTCGTCCGTTATATATTTCAACAAACATTAATCTGACATTCATTTTTATTGAATGTCGGGAATAATTAATGATTTACCGTCAGTAACTAACAGCAACTTTGTTCTAATTATTACACCAATCATTATGTTTCAAGAATTTTTCGTGCGAAAAAATGATTGGTAATATACTGCGAAAGTTAATCAAAGGAAAGAAAACGGCAGAACTAAAAAAAAATGTGAAAGATGCGGGAAATTTGTAACACGTAAACAAAAATATGAAAGCAATCTAAGTGTGATGATGGGGTGAAATTGAAATTTAATTACTCTAAAATATATATTGCTAAAAAGAAAATGAAAGCAAGAAGAGAAAATGCTTGTTTTTATTTAAATTCAAATTATTCTTTTCCCATAATATCTTTGCATTTGATTTCTCATAGCATGTTCTTATATTTAATTTTAAGTTAATTCCCGTAAATATCAAAGATTATGATGGAAGAATTTCGATGACTTTTTAAAAAAGCTTATTAAATCTTAACGATGAAGTGTGAAACGTTGCCATAGAGATCTCGACTTGAAAACAATGTAAATGTTCAATTTCATGAGTACATTCCTGTTGGAAAGAATTATTATCAATTTACATTAAAGTATTTATTGATGTAATTCAGTTTGAGTTCAAAAGTTGCAGCACAAACAACTCATTTAAACAAATTTGTGAATGAATCACTCCTATCATTTCATTGCTACCCGGCAAATTGTAACTGAGAATTGATAACAGTTTAGTTTTAAATATGACAGAAAAAATTAAAATGTTAAAAATTTCATGTTGCATCATTGCTTTCTGATTTTTTCTTATTGTTTATACTGTTAAAATGGGGTTAATTATGTAATGCGCTAAATTACTTACTGAATTATCAAATAATTGAAATTTTCAATCAAACAGATGCGTTTAATGGTATTAAAAGAATAAAAGTTCACTCAATATTGCATTTCTTACACATTATCAGTTAAAGTAAGCGTAGTGAAAATTGTGAATGAATCATATAAATTAATCAAAGCATAATATGAAATAAAGGATTGGAGAGAAGAGAAAATGCACCTGCTGAATTTAAATTTCATATCATTAAATTCCATCATAAATGTGAACTGAATGTATGAATTTTTAATCTTTCGTATTCAAATCAAAATTTTTCATTTACTAAAGTTTGTTCACAGCAATTGCAATGAAAGAGATTGTTATTAGAATTTAGTTTTTTGCTCAAAATAAGAATGTTTCATATGTAATTATATTAAAAAAATAAATCCTATTTATTTCTATTCTTTCCATAGTTTTTCTGTTATTAAATGGTGAAAAAAGCATAACTTTAATCGATAAAAAACATTATTAATTTAAAAATAAGTGAAAAATGAGAATTTGATAATAATTTCGCTTTTTGATTTCCTTTTTCTTTTCTCTTTCTGACAAAGCATATAACATTTCATTGCTAATTAAATTCTTTAATGAATTATTTGACTCATTTCTTCTGACAATTCTTTCAGAATGTTCAAACGACACTCGCAATGTGAACTGTCATCCAAAGCTGTTTTTGATAATTTCATAATTTTTTTGAATTCTCCAATGTGGAATATTCCAATTGCAACATTTTTGGAGCAATATTCAGTAGGTATGGATGATATTTTTGATATAACAGAATTTTCAAAATTAAAATCTGATTTTTTCAAATTTTAAAATACTGTCTTTAAAATTATCAAATGAACTGTGACTATCAAATGACGTTTATTTTGCTTCAAAAGCTATAATAATTTGCAAATTTATTATATATTGATTTTACTAATTATCAAAATTTGCTTGAGTAAATTAAAGCATTTTTAATCGTTGTTTAATTTCTTTCATTAATTGAAAAGTAGCCTTTTAAAACTTACATAAATGAAAAAACAAACGAAAATAACAGTTTAAATTTTTGATAATAAAAAATTTGTTGTAGGAAACAATTTCTCTATAAGTAGAAACGGTTGCATAAATTTATCAATATCTTCAGAAAATTATAGATAAAAATTGATATTAGTTGTGATTTATTTTTACTTTAATTCGACTTTTTCCTCAAAATTTTAACCGTAAAATAGATCAAAAACTAGCGATACAATTAAAATTACTACCAATGATTTTTCAGTATTCGATGATGAACAAAATGATTTATTACTTTATCACAAAATTCATGATGAATTCAAATCGATGGTCGATGTATTAATGGAAGGTTTTTGTAGTGATTTAAATGTCGAAACAAAACAGCTTATCTCTGTTCTCAAATATCACGACAACAGCCACAAGCTGTCAGCAAAGGAACGGGTATGTGCCCTCTCTTCTCCTATACTTCACATGCCTGAAACTTTAACCTCACAATACTTCTCATTTCTAAAATTGTCATGCATTTGAAAAAGTGTTGAATTTAGTTAAGATTTAGTAAGCTTAAAACTTTAGGCATACTAGAAATAGGTTTAATCAATTTCAAATTAAAATTGAGGTTAGAAATAAATTTCTAACTTTAATTTTAATTCGCAATGAATTTTCCAGTTTAAAATATTATATTAATAATTTTATGCAATATGAATTTTAAGAGACTATTTCCAAACTAATCTTTTTCTTCATATGAAATTTTAGGAAACTATTTTTAAGCTGTCTTTTCTTCTGAAAAATTTGCTCCCATTTTTTTTTCAAAATCAATGATTTAAATAAATGCATCTTTTGATTGTTTGAATTTTTAAAAAGGAAAATTTCAAATAATTGAAGAGTTTACTGGGGCCGGTTATAGCCGCACAAAATTTCGATGTTTTTGTGCCGATGATGATACACGAGAGTATCGAATTACGGTTGCAAACAATTCAAATGATCGAAGCATGTTTTTTTTATAATTAGAATAAAAAAGGACTGAATGATGTTCTAATTTGATTTTTATTTCCTTTTCCTATTTATGTATTATTTTTTGCTTAAATTTTTTACTTTTTTGTTTATTTTTCAAATTGAACTGAAAATTTCTAATATATTGATGATTTAAAGATTTGTCTGAGATTTAAGAATTTAAAATTACAGTTTCTTTGTGGTGTACTTCCGACAATATTATGCATTGAAAGTAACGATATTAGCGAGGAAGAATTTGGAAAAGTGTTAATGGAAGGATTAAATCGGGAACAGTACAACCGTTATATATTCATCAAAGTTTTAAGGTACTACCTTGCATTTACGCTTTTATTTTCATCAAATATATATTTTGTATTTTCTTAATCTTTTTATGACATTAGATCAATTGAATTTGTTAAATTTAAATTTTATTTATATCAAAAAACTTATTGTTATTGTGGTCATATTTATTTGCTAAAAAAAAAAATTGGACAATGAGAATTCATTAATTTTCTCTTTCTATGAACTATTGTGATATCATTTGTCTTTTAAAAGTTTGCAGGAAAAGTGAAGCAGAATTTCAAAACGAAGCCAAAAAATGCGAAAAGATGCAATTGAAGGAAGCAATGAAGGCGAGTTTGCAAACAAAAAAACAACTTGAAGAATGCAAGCAAAAAACTGAAGACGAAATTAATACGGTCCTCACATCCGTTTTCAAAATGCATCCCATTGTAAGTTCTTAGATATGGAAAAACAAGAATGAAATATTTGAAAAAATGTTCAAAAAAACCACTTCTGAAAATTCTCAAATTATCATCCATCACCATTACTTTCTCCATTTTAATGATATGACCTTCACTGACATCTTCATCTTTTTACTGTCGAGAATTTTGAAACTACTGGAATTTAGAGATACCATATGCAGATTCATAGAGAATATTAACAAATAAACGCTGGAAATTTTAAAAAATTTAGAATTAGCAATTTTTGAAGTTAAAAATTATCAATGGATAATAGACAAGCAAAAATTATAAAACGAAATGTGAAAAAATTCACTTTTCCATTTCACGTTTCCTCTAAATCACAATAATTTCAGGTTTTTATGCAAAAAATCGATGATAAAAAAGCTTTTTCGAATGTTGCAGATTCAGTAATAACACAGTTGAGTTTTAAAGATTCAAAGAAATTGTCGAAAGTCGAAGACTCTGAAAGACAATTATTAAATAAGGTACATTCAGCAGTTTAAAAAGGAAAGTTTTATTTTTTTTCTCCCCTTAGCAGAAATCCCAAGGTTAGCATAAATTTTGCAACTTTTTTCTTCACTCTCTCTTGTTTGATTGAATTTCTCCTAGAAGGAAAAAGCCGAACCGAAAGATGGGAGAGAACTGGAAAAATCGGTTAGAAAAATGTCATCCGATCTTCATGTATGTTTTGAAATTTTAAAAAGTTTTTATTATTGAATCGTGGTGAACGTTAAAATCAGACTATCGTCGTATGTCAAACTTTTTCTCTTTTATTCAGTAATGTAATCTGAACTCAATTCAATCGTTATTACAATGAGATACAAATCAACCAAAGGAAGTTACAATTTTTTTTAATAAATTTGCCAGCGAATTAATGAAATTGCTTCCATCTATCATTAGTCTGCAAAAGAACCAATTCTCTTCACTGCGCCGAAAAATGCTTTGATAACCGTCGGATGTAAAAAATGTTTTTAAGAGATTTTGACATTAAGAACTATAATTTATTTTGATAAATAAATGGGTTTAATAATAACATTTTACAAATTGTGCTCAGAAGCAATAATTACTTTTGCTTTCATCAAACACTTCATTTTCATTCCTCATTCCTAATGTCCTTATTTACAACACCGATACTTCTCATTGACACTTTCCGCCTGAATTCAGCTTTCATTTTAATTTTTTAGAATTTTTCAGGTATTATCACAACACTCATTAGGACATATCTCACAAAGTGATGTCGAAGAACGCGCAGCATACTTCCGTAAACAACGTAATAAAATAGTACGTATGAAGCACGCAATCAGAGATCAGCACTTAAAAGTTTCATGCTTCATTCGAATTTAAAACCATTTTTTAAATTTTTTTTTAAGGATGAAAAAATCAAAAATTTTCACTGCTAGCTATTGCATAATATATTGTGGTAAAAGATTTTCAAAGAATTCTTTACTTTTATTGAAATTGAAAAAATCCTTTTTCTTAACCAAAAATTCAAATTTAACTATTTTAAATTTTAATGTATTCTTTATGACAACTTTTATAATTAATAATATCTTTGCTAGAAATGATAAATTACAGACAATTGTTGGAAATGTAGCAATGAAAAGACCAGAAACAGCGAAAGCGGCACGAATAGCAATGTCAAGCAAATCAATCTGTTATACTGCCAATAAAGAAATTTTGAATAAACGACAAATTTTAGCATCAAAATTAAAATATGAAATCGATCATATTAATAATTGAGCAGATATGCTTGAAGATTGCCATATTTGATGTTATCACTTCTTAACAATGAATCGCTTTCCTCAGACTTCTTTTCACAAGATTTTCAAAAAGAGAGCGGTAGAAATTTGTAACATAAAATCATCATTTCCATCGAATCTATACCGTATCCGCAGGAGAATATGTTAGCAAGATAGAAGCATCTGTTTATAAACAAGATGTAAATCAGTTTCTTGAACACCGATATTTTCCTATCGCATTAGCTCTTCCTCTTCAATACAACGATTACAGTAATTAATATTTTGTATTATAATTTAATTTTGTTTTGCTTAAATAGTAATTGTATCGCATTGGTTTTTTTCGAGAGATATAATTAGTTTAGAACAAAGCAGCTGATCAATATTTATCTCAATCATTGACGTTATAAGATGAAGGAGAGATGTACAAACTTTAGATTTGATCGATGATTTGAAGAGAACTTCTCTATCTGCTCTTAAAGATCACAATTTACAATGCGAAACTCATTTCGCTCAAATAAACTGACATTAAACGATGCTTTATCACCAACTCTTCAATTCATTTAAATTTCTTTAATAATCAAAATATTCCACCAAATTGCTTGTATAATACTTCGCAATTCATTAAATTTTTATTTCAATATTGAAAAATTCTGCCAAATATTCGTTAATCCATGTGATCAATGAAAATTTCTTCGAATCGTTTTGGAGAGAGTCAAAGTTTTTAGCAGAGATTTGTTTTTTTATTTCTATTTTTAATTTTTAAAAAAACTCACGACTTACCTTTTTATCTTGTGCAAGTTTTTAATAATTTTTGAAATACTTGAAAATTTCCAACTTTTTTTCCATCGTCAAATTTGTTATTCTGAATGTGACTTTATAAATTTCCATTATTCTTCTTGATTTTTCATCGGGGAAGAAATGAAATGTAAAGAATAGTTTGCATTTTTTATTTTTCATCGATAATTCAACAAAGAAGCAATTTCCGAACTTTTCATGTTCAATTAACTGTGATTACCGATTTGATAAGGACGTAAATTATAATTGTCAGTAAATGAAATTATCGATTCGATCGTACTTCTCAGTAACAATGAAACATTCCAGTTGCCAAAATTTCCGAACTTTTCATGTTCATCTTACGATTTTACAACCGTATAATTATTTATGACAAATAATTCCTTTGAGCCAAAAAATGACAAAGATGAGGGACAGTTATGGTGATGAAGATAAATGATAACAAATTGATGATATGTTGATCTGATAAATAAGCATAGTAAACGAAACAATCATTGTAATGATAAGAATAATAGTAATAAAGATAACGAATAATGGATGATAATTGATTTTCTGCCCTTTACAATTCTTTCTCTCTTTCTCTTTCTCCTTCCGCGTTTCCTACTCACGATTGTTTTATTCAATAAAAACCAATTTTAAAAATAGAAAGCAAAGAAAAAAGTGTAAACAATTTAAGATCAGTTTTCAAATTATTTCACCGATAATTAAAAGTAAAATCACTGATATTCCATCAACTACTGTAAATTCTACATGGTTTATGTTCACTTAATATTTTTTCGCAGTATTTTCTTGATCACTTAAAATTTATCACTATCACCGCTAGCACTCCTAGTAATTTAATCAGTTAATTAACGATGAATTTATTAAAATTAAATTACTTTGCTGTTTTTTAAAAGAAAACTTTTACGATTAATTGATTATTTCAAAATTTCTATTAAGCTATAACACTTCAGCAAAAATTTTTTCACTCCCCCTCAATTGCTTTAATAACTTTCATTCTTAATTAGTTAACCTTGACAGAATTGATCCAAATGTTTAAATGCCGAAAGTGTGTCATTCTTTTGGAAGGTTTTGTACAAATTGTTGATTTTAAAAATTTAATTTATTTTTGATAGGTTCTTCTATTTTCATTAATTATAACTTTAGCTGTAAATGCATTTTTTAATCATAATTCCGTGAAATTTCTTCAGTTCCTTTTTTATTTATTATTTATTATGACATTCATTTGCACCTTTTTATTGAAATCTACCTTTTCTTTCCCGAATTTACCAATTATGCTATCTAAAAAGCGAAAAAATATTTACATTACTAAATAACCGATATAACATAATTAAGGCAGCTATCGCAGCGATCGGATTTGTTCACATCAAAAATTTAAATTCAATTTTTTTGGAGGAAATCGCGGATTAAAATCCCACAAATGTTTTCAGATGAATGAGGAACATAATGATTTTTGCAATTTTAGCTGAAAATTTTGATGTTTGATACTATCAATGGCATTTCTTTTTTTTTTCTTTGATTATTTCAGACTTATGCTTACTATGTAGTGTCAGCAGGTCAACACAATTATTGCAACTGCATGCAAAACGATAAAAATGTCAACAGCAGAGCGTGCTGCACTTGCAGCTGTAAAAGTAAATCAAAGAAAAGAAATGAGAACGTGCTGTCACTGTTTGCATATCAAATGCGGTATTGTAATTCTCGGATTGATAGAACTTATCGCTATTGCTCTCATTTTGAGCGGTATCCTTACACAAATTATCAATAAGAATCGTAAATTCAATTGTGATCATGAATTCATATCCAGGTAAACAATGTGCTTAGCTATTGTAAACTACAGATACAATATATTTTCTCAGAATTCAAAGCAATTAACAATAAAGTTTAAACCAAAGAATTTACACTAAAATTGAAATATTTTTAATAAATTCATATCATATAAAATTAAAGTAAATGGGTGATTCTAATAATTCTGTTTTAGATTTTTGCTTTTTTTGTTCAAAAAAATAAGCGAGAAAATCTCAACTTTTTTATACAAAAAAAAAAGAAACATGAGGAGAACTTCAAATTTTGTTTAATTTTTGTTTGAGAGACAAAGAAGAAAGATTACATTCCACATGTTTTCTGTGGTAAGGAATAGAACAATCCTAATTCATTGAAAATCAGAGAAAAATGAAATAAAATTTTTAATGAAAAGTCAAGGATTTGAATAGTGTGTAATGTTAATCAAATTTTCGGATAATGAATTAAACTTCATAGGAACAACGTGTTAATAAATTTAATACAACGAAATAATGTATACTTGTTAATGATATAGTTGATAGTTAACTAGAGTGCAAATAAAATTTAATTTGAAATGATAGTCAAAGTGTAATAAAATTTAATCGGGAAAATCAAATATATTATTGAAGATTATTCCGAGATTGCAATTTGTTAACATTTGATTGGACATTGGCTGGCGATTATTTCATCGCTTTGCTCTTATTTAGCATTGCAATATGCGTATGTTTATTTTGATAATTATTTTTTAAAAAAAGAAAACTTAATATAATCTAATTAAATTATTTGTATAAATAAAAATTCTTCGCCACTATTATTAACACACGAAACAATAATTTATGTTGGACATTATTTTTATTTGAAATAAAAACAAAAAAAATAATTGTGTGTTTCTAAAATTTTACTTTATGAATAAAGTTTATTTTCGATAAAATTTTCTTAATTCTTCGTATTTTTTTCTTGAAATTTGCAAAATTTTAGCAGAATTTTAATTTTTTTATTAAGAAATTTTTTAGGTTTTGCTGTTATTTCTTGGAATTTTAATCAAATCACCATTTTTATTATTACCACATTTGCTAATTCAAGGCGTTTTTCTAATTTCATCCCTCGCTTATTTTTTCCTCTATGCACGGAGTTATTTTTATATCGATTTGTACAAACAAAGCAAAACTTTCGACGTTAGTTTTTTTTTTTCAATTTCTTAAAATTTTATTCTTTTTAAAAAAGTATTGACAATTTTTTAATATTTTCAAAATTCACTACGCAAATTTTTACGCCATATCCAATAGATAATACCATTCGATATTTCTAATCCTTAAAATATTGCATTTTGATAGCAATAAATATTTCCATTTCCAATTATTTTACCCTATTTTTTTTGTATACAATATTTTATGAAAGTTCAGAAATTCTATTTATGCATACATCATCAATTATAATACAATATTTAATATTCTTCTTATATGCAAAAAAAAAATTTTTTTCCATCTTAAGAATTTTTTTTCACCCAATATTGGGAATGCTCGAAAAGTAAAATGCTAATTGTTGGGTAAAACTTCTCGTGATACCTTTCTAAGTTACGATCATTTCAATCAAAACAATTATTTTAATTAACTTTTTGATCGTATTTAAAACTATTCCTTTTTTTGTTGTAATTCCACAATTAAAAATTAAACAACAAATTTACGTTTACAAAAGTATTGCTATAATTCTTCTTTGTTGATAAAATTTATAAGAATTTTGCAATGTTTAGAAATTGTTGGACAGCTGTCCGGAATGCCTAAAAAACAAATTTTGAAGAGTGTAAAATCTGCGAAAAAAAAGTTTTCTTAATTCGAATCAATTTTCCGAATTTTTCCTCATTTTCAATTTTTGTACTTCAACAAGAAAAGAAAGTAATTTATTATACAGAAATCAATCTAAAAGGGAAGAAAAAAAAAGGAAAAGGAAGGGAGAGAAATAAAACTTTAACCAATTTGTATAACAGAAATCTTATATTTCGCTGTTGAGAATTAAAAATTTTAGCAAAATTAAAATGACCATCTTGTTTGGTATCATCTATCAGTGATATGATTTAATCAAACCAAACTTTCAGTAGATTTTTGAAATACAGATAGTGATATACGGCGAAAATATGATACTAATAGAACTGATTTTCCTGTAAGAAAGAATATCTAAAAATAAATTTTTCGTAATATAAAAAAACTTTTCTTTCAGCTTACGGCTTTATTGGAACGGATGTGGTTAGCAACTTTGTTACTTATCCTTGCCGCATTTCAATTTTACACCTTTTTTAATGTTATCAAATGTTGCTTGTATTTACAGGTAATTTTCTTTGGTTTGTCTTGCTGTTAATTTATTTTGGATTAAGCAAGAAACAATGAAAAAATTTTTAACGTTTCAAGTTGATTTAATATTAATTAATCGAAGTAAGTAAAAATGATTTATGGAATTTTTAAATTTAAATGAAGATAAATAACAAAGTACAATAATGTTCATCGATCCGGAAAGGCGAATCAATCATTGCAAGCTGAATTGAACTATTCAATGTCAATTTTCATTTCGTGGTCATAATGTAATACGTGAAAATATCATACGTTCTGTCGGCAATCATTTTTGTATTATACGAAAAAGAGAAAAAAGTATCGAATAATATCACATTGCTAAACTTTAAGCATTATCAAACAAGAATGAAACATTTCAATTAACATCAATCATCCATTGTTAGGCAGTTGTACAAAACTATAAAAGTAAAAGTATATTGGAAAATTTTTCAAGTAAAAAATCAAACTTTCAGTATCGTTTTTAAAGTTTACAGAATTATGATCTCAATTTTGTACTTTTATTCTTGAAAATTTCAAGAGTTTAAAAAGAAGAAAAATTTACTTCATAATTAATTATAGCTCTTTTAACAATTTTTCCAACTATCATGCCAGATGATTTCGCTTATTTTCAACAATCATTATTGACTTTATTGATTGACTGATTGATTGATTTGTTTTATTCGTTTTTTTTTTTTGTTCTCTCTTTGCTTTGCTTCAATTCGTTGGCTTTTTCATTTTTCATCGTTTTTTTCAGTCGAATGATTGAATGAATGAAATTGTTTATTCGCGAAACCATAAAGCAAAGCAATTTTTCAAAATAAATTTAAGAAAATTTGTATTTATCAATTAAGTTAAACAGAATACTTTATCGTTGTTAATTTGGTTGGTAAAGTTAAATTGTTCGAAATTTATCAATTATGCATATTCATTTAACTAATGATAATGTAATTAATTTTAATAGGTAAAATATATTCAAGTTAAAGTTTGCTATAGTTTGCTATTTTATATGGACTGATATTATAAAATTTATGCAAAATTTAAACAGTTAAATAAAGCAAAAGAGAAATTTTTAATTTAATACTGTTTAAAATTAAAAGGAATATCAAAAAGAACGATTACGGCGAATTGGACAATTTGAGGAATGCAGCAAAAGAGTGCGAGATGCAAAGAAAAACGGTCTTTGGCGATATACAAGTTGGGGTGGTGGCTTCCAGCAGGTTATCACCAATTTTAAACAGATTTTAAAATATCAAATAGAAACACGAGGATGTTACTCACAATGATTACTTCAATACTAATTACTAAAGGATGAATATTTTCACGAAAAATACATCTTTTTGGTCATAATTTAAATGGTTGACACATTCCTTGGTACATTCAGTATGTCGGTGAACACGACAGTAATAATCATAAGTTGAAAAAACGCAATAAGCCGCCCGGACATGTTCAATGGAATTTGCAAGCAAATATTGAATTGGCTGAGTCAAAAAATACACCGAATCCTATGGAAACAACGAAGCAATTAAAAAAGGTTTTCTAAACAAATTACTGTATAAGCATTGCTTACCAATTTTAAATTACTTCCTTAATTGCATATAGTATTTATTTATTTATTACTATATCGCTTATTCTCAATTTAAGCCATATGTGCTTATTGAATTCAACTAAAATTGTCATGAGTGTGTTAAATTTTTGTTAAGTTTTTTTGAAATTTATTTTCTTTTTTTCCACATTTATATTCAATTCAAAATTTCTGCATATTTTGATGGGAATACGGATCAAATAATTCTGTAGTGTTACTTTTTTATCTGAAATTTCTCGATTAAAAATAATAAGATTATTTTTTTAAGAAAAATACTTAGACCTAAAGTCTAAATCTATTAAGTCTTTTTAACTTATGTGATTTCTCCTCTTTTAAGTATTCAAATTTATCTTTAATGTAAATGGAAAGTTATTTGCATAACAATTAGCATATTAAATGATGAATTATTGGCGATCTCTTCAGATAAAAGATGATAAAAAAGTTCGAAATATTAGTGTAGGCTCAAATTATCACGATGAAGACAAGCGTAGAACCACTGGTCTTGTGTTATCTCCGATAAACAAGGAAAGAGTTGACAAACAACTCCTGACAGGTTTTTTTTTTCTCTTTTTCTTCTCTCTCTTTCTTTTTTAGCTTTAAAAATACAATCTAAATTAATGGACCAATAATTTGTCTTGATATTTTAACGGATTTATCTTTGTTTAGTAATAATATTGGTATTAAACTTACTGTCTAAACTAAATTTTTTAATAAATAATTGATGAAGTGTTTAGTAATACAAAAAAGTATGGCTGATAGATAAATTTAAGTAGCTGTTGAAGAATAATGGAAAAATTAGAAGAATGGAAATTTTATTAATGTTGCATTTATAATAAGTGTAGAAATATTATCTTCTTTTTAATCTTTTTTTAAATTCTTAATCAAAAAATTTCAAGTTGAAAAATTTTAAAAATTAAGCACAACAATAATGGAGAAAAATAAAAGGAGAGAAAATGTGCAATTTAATAAATTTCAATTTTGTTTAAATTAAACAGTTTTCTTTTTTCTCCATTCATTCCTTGAAATTAATTTATTAATGGATTATTAATATGTCATTATCATTATAGCTGTACCGATGCAACCGGTAAAGCCTAACGTTAGAACCATTTCTGGAATAATGAAAGCTGCTACTTCTGCCACAATTACTGTTCCAACCAAAGGGAAAGAATCTCCCGGTGATGCTATCCCTGTATTGCTTAATCCTGTCGAACAATATAAAAACACAGAAAAAAAGTACGCTTAAAAATATAATTAATAAATAATTCAATTTGAAAAAGAAGCTTATCTTTGATTTATAGCATATATTATTTTAAATGTAAATATTGCTAGTTGTATTAATTATTTAATTTCGAGCTATTATTTCTATTTTAATTTGATACAATGAATATGCATAATTTTTTTGGTACATTTACCGTACGCGGAAACTTTGAATTTGAACAACAAAAAAGAAAGGAAATATGATAAAATTTGTATGATAAAATATTTATCACATAATTTCAAAAAAATCATTCAATCAAAGATTGGAAAATTATTGGTAAAACGATTGGTTGCATAAAATACAATGAAACAAAGTAAATTTGAATCAATCATATAATTTATGAAAAAATGTAATGAAAAATTAAAAAGTATAAGAATAATCAATAAGATAATTTATTGGTTTAGCGTTAGCTTCCTTATTTCGTCTAATAACAAACAGTCTTCTGTTTCGTTATATGAAATGAATGAATAAATAAGTAAATAATAGCAACCTGTCAACAAATAGCTATCACTTCTAAGTTTTGAATTGGGCTACAGAGAATGAAAGACGAAAAATCTGACCACCGAAAATTTTCATAATTTCGTTGTTTGAACTTTTAAGATGAAATTAAATTTTGATTAACTTGGAGATATTTCACTGCAATTTTGTCATATAATTAAATTCAACATTTCCTTTCCTTCTAATGATTTTCATGTGATAATAAATGACTTTTTTTTAATTTTTAAATTTTTTCAATACTTACTTTATTACAATTTTAAAATTATCCAATACTCAGGCAATTTTATATTTGACTACTTTCTTGCAGATCTTCTACAGGTAGCACGACACCTTGCAGTTCCGTGAAGAAAATATTAGTCAGTTCGACAGAGTCATCAACTCATTAACATTCCATATCATATTTATTCATAATTACCCGTTATTTCTAATGCATGTTTTCTGCATAATTATAAGAGAAAGGAATAAAATGTTTGCATAAAGATATTTTGAAAGTTAATTTCACATAATAATGAAGCTGATGCGCGGAGAAGTTTATTAATTGAGAGTTAGCAATTAGCTAATGGAAAGTATCATTGGAGAAGATCGCATGGGAAATCACATGGAACACGTCAACACGGCCATCGATAAGTGAAAAAACTTTCTGTTTTTCATTCGTCATTTGTTTTGAGAGAATTGAAACTTTTTCTTCTTTTTATTATTTTGAAATTTAAATATTTCTTCAATGTATGTATCAGCGAATGAAAGAAAAAGAGGAATGGTTAACGAAGTTCGATGGATGTGTTTTGAAGGGAATACTTAATCAGTGTTTGTATCTCATATAAATCAAGTATTTACACATCAAAAGCCTGCTGAACTCTCAACTATCATTATTATCGTCATCATCGGTAATTAAATTATTATCATTACTAGCAATGGCTACCATTAGCTGTTGTTTTCTTTACTTCCTTTCAATGTCATTTTTTGTGAAACAATAAAAATGTCTGTACGTGTGTGTCTGTGTCTGTACACGTGTGTCCGTGCGTTCGTGACCTATGTGTACACCTCTACATAATCTGACTGTTAATGACTACGTCTTTCATTTCACTGGTCATTTTTTGCACATTAAAACTTGCTTCTCGAATAGCTTCATTTTCCATTCAAAATGCTAATTATTGACTGTAAAAATAATATAATGATTCAGTGAAAAAAACATATCACAATAGAAATTGATGAGAAATACAAAAAACAACCTGATTGAAAATTGATAAAAATTGAGAGAAACAGAGTGGCAGAGATTGATAAGAACTGAGAAAAATAAAGCGTCAGAGACTGATAATAATAACGAGAGAACAAGGCAGAAGTGAATGAAAAAGATCAGAATCAGTAAATTCAGCAGTAATTCGGATGATATGCCATTATCTGAAAGGAAAGTCACACAAATTTTCAAAATTCTACATTTTCGAATTTTCCACATTTTTTATATCCATCTATTTTTGCTGATGACTAACATTAAATAAACTCATTAATCGCTCTCCGAACAACATATGATTGTATTTAGGCTATAATGCATCCAATTTACGTTTTTTTATGAGACCACGCAATTGGTTGATTACGTTGATTTGACGTATTTATGTTATAAAAATCAAATCAAAGTTGTTCCTTTTTTAAAAGATTTCGAGAAAAAGAAACTTCGCGCCTCTAACCATTCCTCTTTTCTGAGGGAGGAAAAGAGAGAGGGAGACAGGGAGAGGGAGAAAAGGGAGGGAAGGGAAAAGAAGAAGTGTATCCGTTATGGTTCTGCTCGGAAACAACTGTGTTATTGAATGCTGTGAGTTGTTTGTTATCGTTTTTCTTCCAATTGTGCTATTTAGTATTTTGTTTGTAATACTTCACGTGTAATATTCCTATGTGTACAGTTACGTGATGTTTTTCATGAGAATTGCTGAGATCCCATGCATTTACAATTACGTGATATCCCACATATATGTGATCGCATAATTTTATCTTACATTTGCATACCATGTCCATATGTTTATGTGTACAGTTATTTCTGTACGTGTATGCAGTATGCACGTTATTCTCATACGTGATATTCAGTTTTATTTACAAATTTATCCATGAAATGTGACGCAGAATTCCATCATTCGTTATAGCATACGAATGATTATTGTTTGTATACTGATCGAATTTTTAATAAGTTATGTCCATGATAGCTAATTTAATTACAAAGGATTCAGTTAATCAGAGCTCAGTAATCTATTTTATTTTTTTCAAGGTATGCAAAAAGTAAGCGCAGTAAAAGGTTTTCGAGCGTAACTTTTTGAACGTTGGTATCACCCATTTAACAGCATTTGTTTTTAGGTGAAAGATTTCTTTTAAAAACTGTCGTGAAATTTCTTTTCTTCTCTGTCTTTCATTAACAGCGCCTATTTTGCTTAAACCTCACAATTTTAGACAAAATATCTATTGCGAAATTCATTGTTTTATTTCGTTTACGGAAATTCGTTATTATAACTGGGAAAAGTAACAATTCAAATGGAAGCAGCAGTAGTGAAAAAGACGAATAAATTCATAAATAGTGCCGATAGTGCCGTGGACGACAGTATTCGTGGGTTAATTCTTTCGCATGACAATTTGGCAACATTAGATGTAAAGTTTATATATTCTGCTTTTAATTAAGTTTTGATTTTTTACAAATGCAAATTTGTTAGCAGTAACGGTTTGATAAGGGAATTGAAAATGCTAAGCTTTATTTTTTTTTCTCTATTTCTGGTTTTTCACATTAATGTGATAAAATCAGAAATAAATGCTATTTTATGTTACATTGCTGAGAACATAAGTGATTTTATATTTCTTCTTAAAGGAATGTCTTTGAAAAGTCGGACATAGAAGGTATCGATAAATTTACATTAGTAGGTTGTTTCAAGGCTGACTTATGTCTTCATGTTTTGGTTACCATTAACGCATTTTTTCAATTTTAGTGTTGCTATCGTGTAGTTCTTCGAGCTGATATCGCCGAATTGAAAGAGACAAAACAGGTCATGCTACTTGCTGGTGGAGGTTCTGGACATGAACCATTTGCGGCAGGTAATGTTGTGGAAAATTTAAATCCAATAAAATGAGTTTTTAATATGATTCTATAATTAACAATTGTTAGCATACTTTTTCGTTTTGTTATAATATAACTTTTATATATATATATGAGGAAAAGTATTTTATAGGTTTCGTTGGGAAAGGTTTACTATCTGCTGCCGTTTGCGGAAATGTGTTTGCATCACCACCTACTTCACATATATCAGCTGGCTTAAATGCTATTCACAACAGTTGTAAGTAAATAATTATAGAAATTTGTTATTGTTTTAATTCATGTAAGCTGTTCCTTATCATTTAGTCTTCATTTGGCTTTTCTTGATGAATTCTAATCTTGTATTGTATGAAACTTATCCTTATTTTATTTGTCAGCTGGGATAGCAGTATTTGTTATCAATTATACTGGAGATCGACTTAATTTTGGTTTAGCTGTGGAACGATTCAATAGGAATCGAAAAAAAGAGGTTCTTAGACATGTAATAATACTTTGTTGGGCATGATGAAACCTCAGTGGTGTCAACTAATTAATAACGAAAAGTATGGTTTAAGGTACTAGGTTTCATTTAAAAATTTTATGCGGTCTGCATACAATACGTGAGGGGAGATTTTTTTTCCTCCTTTTTAACAGATACAACAATTAAAATATATTTACAAAATTCTAACTGTCGCAAACGGATGCAATATGTGCTAAGTTCGATTTAATTATGATTGTCGAATTGTTCTTAGATGACTGAAACTAATAACTTATACTAATAACGTGTTGAAAGTTTTTTCGACATATAGATGTTCAGGACGGTGAAGCGGAAATGGTAATAATTGGTGACGACGTAGCTCTAGAAAGTAGTTTTACTGGGCGAGATCTTGGACGTCGTGGCTTAGCAGGTGCTGTACTACTACTAAAAGTAAATTTTCGAAGTCAATTTTTGTGTATAAATTTCTCAATTCCTTTTAGATTTTACTCGGTATTTTATTTCTTATCTTCAGATTGTTGGCGCAATGGCTGAAGAAGGTAAAGATCTGAAAACAATAACGGCAACATCCAGATCTGTAAATGATAATTTAGGTGAGTTAAAGAAAAAGGAAAATGTAATATCTTGGTTGATATTTTTGTTTGAAAAAAGTTTTTGGCAGTTGTGGTTATTAAATTATTGCTATTATTAATAAGAAAATTGAAATCTTTGCAAGGCAAAAGAACATTTAATGTGCTTTTAATACATAACTTCATCCAACTGTATGTTTTGGAGCTGCATAGTAGGGAGTTTTATTGGTGATCATTTTCAGGTACCATTGGTGTGAGTCTTTCTGCATGTAGTTTACCTGGAAGAGGCCCGATGTTTGAACTGGAGACTGACCAGATGGAATTTGGTCTCGGTATTCACGGCGAACCTGGTTTTGAAAGGAGTCAGTATAGGACAGCAAAGGAAGTGGCAAAACTGCTGCTAGAAAAACTGGAAAACAGTCGGAAACTAAATCTTCAGAAAGGTAGTGCGGCAGATAAATTTAAATTTGAAAAACGCTGACTTATACCTCGAAATACGCAGGTTTAGAAGTTGAATATTGAAAAACGCACGTAATTCTTCGGAAATATAATCAGTTTGTCAAATTTTGCTTTCTTAGAATGATCGAGTGAGTCATCGAGTTTTAAACTGATGAATTTTATATTGCTCGTAGATTACTGCTGTTTCATTAAACGCTTGGAAAATTTTGAGGTTTTTTTTTTGCATCTACTTGTGCTTCACCTTTCCAGGCGAGAAACTCGTTGTCCTGTTAAATAATCTTGGTGGAACATCGCAAATTGAACTCAACATCCTATTTGGAGAAATCTATTCATGGTTATGTATGTTCTATCCTTATTAATTTTGTTATTTTGCTCTAGAATATATCAGATGAGTTTAGAATAATTCAATCTTGTTATTAAAAGTTTAATTCTCATGAAACAAAAAACAAACATAATATTGGCATGTTTATCAAAGCCTTCATTGAGACGAATATATTCAATTTGAGTTATTTGAAGATTCATGATAAAATTTGCTAAGGTGAAAAAGGTTACTGCATTCATCGTTTCTACGTTGAAAGCGTGATGACATCGTTGAATGGTCATGGTATCAGTATTACAATATTACGATTGAAATCAGACGATTGGTTACGATATTTGGGTATGTGATGCTAAAGTTTTTTAAGTGATACTGAATTGATTCTACAAAAATTTTTTCAATTAAATCAGAAATCGAGTTTGGCAAGTTTTACACTATCTTCTTGATTACAAATTTTGTTTCTTTCTTTTCTTTTTTTCTGGTGTGAACTATGATTTTGCACTTGGTATTATACGACTAATAGAAAGTGATAATTTAAGATGCGGTGACAGAAGCACCTGCATGGAAAATGACACATTTTCCTCCAAAGCTTTCATCTAGTGTAAACAAGATTAAATCAACGAGAAATAAAGAGAGAATCGATAAACATATTGGAGCAGCACTTTCCAAAGGTTTTTTGTTATTATTTGTACAGACTAGTTATATTTAGAATATGTCAGCGATATAAATAATTCAATAATATAATGTTATAATACGTCCAAATCTTTAGCCGTAAAATAAGGCTTGCGAATTTGTTATAGTAGGAAACTTTCAATTGAAATTAGGGGCACGATCATTAAATCTTTATATCTTTATTTTCCACTTCATTTTTTTTCTACCGTTTGTTGACTGTCTCTTTCGACTTCATCAGTTTTATTGTTGTTGTTGCAGCGAAATCAGAAGCAAAATTTGCCAATTTTTCGCCGAATTATTTTGCAAGCTGATTTTGCGATGCTGGATGATAAATAGCTAGAGCTTTCTAATCATCAACTTAATTAAAACATATAGTAAATGTTCTAATATTCCAGAAGATGCAAAACATGTGGAAGCAGCTGTAAAGAAAGCATGCATAGCAATCCATGAATCTGTGGATGTGTTGAATAGCTTAGATAGTAGTGCAGGAGATGGTGATTGTGGAACTACTCTAAAAATTGCTGCTGCTAGTAAGTTTCAGTTTCTACTTATCACGCTTAAATTATAAAATAACAGTCTGATTTTTATTGTCGTGGGCATTACTATCCAATGTTTTTAATGTTTGAGTCATTTTTCGTAATCATTTTGCAGAAATTCTGAAATTTTTGGATGAAGAAAAACTTCGATGTGACATTCCACTATCGTTATTCAATGAAATTTCACAAATATTTGAAGATGTTGGTGGTACAGCTGGAGCAGTGAGTTTTCAGCTCTTTCTTCAAGAAAAGCCTGTTCATTATCATTTTATCATCTATGCGATTATTTTTATCTTTACTATGTCTGATCAGTGATGCGCAGCGTATTTCCCCTGAAAAAAAGCTGCGTTTTTGAAGAAAATTGGTATGTTAGTACTTTATGCTTTATTGATGATGATATATGTTTTTTGCTTTCCAGTTGTACGCGTTGATGTTCAGCTCCGCAGCTCAAGCATTTATCGAATCAACAACTGCAAAAGAGTGGCATTTAGCGCTGAAGAATGGCCTAGAGGCTATTATGAAATATGGACAGGCTAAACCGGGTTCTAGATCCATGGTTCGCTTCTTTCATTTGCACTTATTTTAGCTGCTGGAAATCTGAAATTTGATTTAAATGATATGGAACATGTAGTATCTAAGACACTGAGATATATTGATGACTTAAGTGATTAGCTTTACCTTAACTGTGGTACCATCTTATTGATAACATTTGTTTTTATTTTCATGCATTCGAAAACTTGCTGTTGTTTTACTTTAATGTCGAAAGTTGCTTTATGGAACTTTGAACAATACGATATTCAATTTTTTTTCTGTTATCCACATCTGAAATTATATTTTGTAATCCAACTCTTACAAGATTTTACGATAGTTCATTTGCTGTTGTAGAAGTCCTGTTCATTTTTGATAATGTTTGTACTTCTACAAGGGGTACTGTAATAGTTGTTTTTTAAGCACAGAGGTAATTTTGCCTTAAAACCGGACGTTAAAGTTCCATCTATTGCAATATCTCATTGAAGAAGTTAGGAGGGGTCGAATATGTCTTTAATTTTTGGCAAAATATATGCCGATATACTGTACCTACATTTATGTTTTTTTTGAAGATATTCGGAACTTTACTGGGGATTTTTCGATGCAACTGACAACTAATAATTACAGGTGGATCCTCTGCATGCTGCTACAACAGCAATATCGCATGATAATCCAGGAAAAACACAGTGGGAAAATGCTGTAAAGGTAATTCTCGATTTTATTCTTCCTCTTTTCCTTTCAATTTTTCCCTGTTAACTTTGCCAGGATGGTATTTAGCTCTTTTTAGGAACTCACCGATAGTTCAAGTTGACTCTTTGCTAGACTTCACTCCAAATGATTTTTGTTTTCTTTTTTACATGAATTGTTTGCAGCAAGCTGAAGAAAGGGCAAAAGCAACCAGTGGCATGTTTGCACAAGTGGGTCGTGCAAGTTACACTTCTACATTGGTACAAAGAGAACCTGATGCTGGTGCAGTTGCAGTGTCTATATGGTTGCGAGCAGTTTATGAAGCTATTTATTCGTAATTCAAATTTGAAATTAATAATTATATTGGGATTTCGTGGTATAGGTTGTATGTAATAACTGTTGTATTCAGTAGCCGTTGTTTCATAGTGGGACCTGAAAATCAAATATATATATAGTTGCAGTTAATTATAATTCACCTACGATCTACTTATTTGAACTCTAATTAGAATTCGATTTTATACTGATAATTATGCACATTTCTTGGTACATTTAAGATTTGCCTGGCTTCAAAAATATTGTCTTTTGGATAAGATGATCTTTATAATTGAAAAATAGAATTTTTTAAACTTCAGTAATTTCATAAGGTTTTCTAACTAAAGCGTATCTTTTCATTATGCCCTTTGATTATTAATATTAGTCCACAAGGAGTGATTCTTTTCATCTGGTCGAGACGATCATTCACTTAGGAAGCAAAATTTCTTGCATTTCAATTAACGCATTTTTGAACTGATTTTTCATCTTATTTGTAAGATCTTAAATTATGTGGCAATACCCTTTAAAACGGTGTTGCGAAAAATTAGCGGTAATCATTTCTTTGTTAGATATTTTTGAATTAGCTTCTTTCAGCTGTGACATATCAAATATGAGTTTTATATTTTAGGTGATCAAAATTAGACTTTTTGTCTGCAGCAAGTTTACATCGGCACTGTTGTTCTATAGCTAACATTATTGTTGCTGTTGTTGTCCCCGATGTAATTCATATATATCTGGAAAATTTGGAACTGGAGTACTGAAATTCCATTTATTTCCTTTATTTCAGTTCACTTTCACCAAATTTAGTTTACAAATATTAGTTTTCAAAAAAAAGCTTGTAAATGTCTTCCACTTCTTTTTTCCGAGGTTAAGATGGAATGAAAAAAACAGGCAAAAGATTTTTCTATAGAAAAAAATCTTTAGCAGAAATGATTAATAGATAGATATAAGTGGTAAAAGGAAAGATTTCGGTAAAGATTATATACGCAGTTTTTTTGATAAAACCATAACGGAATCTGCAGTTAGAAATTGAAGGAGAAAATGAAGGTATGTCAGAAGATGAACAAAACCGAAATAGAAACTGGCAAATGTTTCTTTTTCAAATATATTAAATAAAAAGTTTGGGTAGATTTAAGAACTTATGTTTTTGCTCGTTTATTCTTGAACAATTAAAATGGCAACATGTTGTATATTTTCAAATGAAGTAGGTTATTTCTGTTTTTGGCATATCTTTTTTAAAGATCTTTCAGTTTTCTGACTCATCGCTGGAAATATGTTGCATATTTATCATTCAGTTCTCCGTTCATATGGCTTATAGTAACAGCAACAAAAAACGTTTCTTGACATGGCAAAAATATTCTTTTGCAGGTAAAAAATAGCAAAAAAAAAAAGAACAAAACTACCAAATCGTGCATAAATTATCAATGTCTAAAAGCCATGGTATCGAAACCTTTGATGTGAGAAATTCTTGCCAGAAATAATCTTCATATGATACGATGAGGTTAAAATAGATTAAATCCCAACAAATTTTATTAAATAATTTTTTTTTTCAATAAAAAAGAGTACTTGTATTTGGTAATGATCTTGGAAAGATTTTTTTTTCATACCAAATACAAGGTATTTGGCTTATGTATTACATTGATGAGATCGATTGCAAGTCAGATTTCCGTTGGTTGAATTTGAACGATGGATCAGAGATTATCATCGGTTGATAGGGTTAGTTAAAATAAGTGTCAACTCTTCCCATCTCATAATGAATAGTCAGGAATCCACTTTTTTCCAAACTTCCAGTATTGTCATTATCCTATTGACGATTGAGCAAAATTTTTATGAACAATTCTAATAACAATTATACATTCATTACACCTAGATTTATCGCATGATTTTTGAAAAGTATTTATTTGAAGACAATTTAAAATGAAATGGGAAATAAGGGAGAGAGATGAACATTTAATCATGCGGAAAAAAGTCTTGCAAAAACTTTTTTCGTTTTCTTTTTTAAATTGATTTAAATTTCAATTAATGTGAAAGGTTAAATTAATTGATGAAAGCATTAATGAATATTGGGTGGTCAGTGGATGATGGCATGTACATGTATATACATATACTTCCTTTCATTGATTTTTTTCTATTTAAATTGCAAGATTTTTTCAATTTCGATAAGGAAATGTTTCCAATACAAACCATCAAAACGCGCTTGTTTTTTGTCGCTTGTCTTCTTGGTCTTTCGTATATGAATACACACACACACACACACACACACACACACAC